CTTTGAAGAAATAGAAATTGATGAAAAAAATTTTGAAGAAGAAATATCTAGTGAAGACGAATAGAAATAGTTAAAATAAAATTAGTTTCTAAAAATTCCAAAAATTTGATGACATGTTTTGCAATAAAAAGCCATTTCATTAAGGGTAAAATTGGTTTTTTAATAAAAAAACCTAAAACCTCAAAGTTGACCGGCCATTTATGAAGATCTCCCAGTGGTCTACCATGCAAATTTGCTCCCTCACGTTTTTGTGGGTTTAATAGCAGGATGATGGATGATGGATGATGGAGGGATGTGCGATTAGGGTTTCTTGATGTGGGGATTTTCGAAATTGGAAGGGAAGCAATAGGGGAAAATCGAAATCCAGGGTTCGTCTTCTTGCTAGAATTGGGTGGGAGTGAATTGGGGCTGAATCAATTAGGGTTCTGAGGTGTTGTGTTGGTTTTGATTTTGAAGTGAGTGAGGACGTTTGTTTGCAAAAAACGATTCTAACATGGGCAGCAAATGAAGGCATCTAGTGCCAAATAGGATGCCGTTCATGCCACATCAGCTGGAACTCAAACGGGATCTTGATGAGTGACAGATGGAGGAGGACTTTGGTAAGTTCAGTGAGCACTCAGAAGCAAATCAAAGTACAGTGACCACAACGTGACGACATTCAAAGTTCAATGATTAATGAAACTTTTTACTCTATGAATGGGTGTAATTTCCTCTTTTTGAAGTGTTTATAAACAGGCACGTAAAATCATCTCAATGGACCATTTATAAATGGGCTGCTAAATTAATTGATCTCATTATAAATTATAATATATAAAATGCAATCACATCTACAACAAATGAAAAGATTTGGCTGGTAAATTTATGGGAAAAAAATTGCCACTTATTATAAATTACAATATATAATTTGTCATTTAATTATTATTTAATTTTTTATTGAAGTCTCAAAGTCGTACCTGTGTTTAAAATTTGGATTCTTTTTTAACATATCCCCGTCTTCTACATTTTAGAAAATAAAAGATTCGACACTTATATACATACTCATAATCGATATCAGTACCAGAGTCAGAGCATTATAGGTGGTTTTGGAGATGATGTGCTCCAATGGACAGATATGGGCTCCCGTGTGTGCAGAGACAACACGATTCTAAGAGGAGATGGCTCTGCGTGTCATGGTTCTATTTGGGAGCATGTAACAGTGATCTGACGGTGGAGGTGCCGGGGTCAGGTGTTCGGGTGGATTGCTCGGGCAACTTTCTGTCCTTGGATCCAGGTTTGCATGCAGTGTTCTTGGCCTCAGAACTTGATGCTAGGGCTACACTTTAACCTCGGTGCTCTCGAGCATGAACATAGGTGCCTGGACAACACTGTGGCCTCGGGTCTGGCTTAAGTGCTTTGGGCGGTGTTCTGGCCTTGTATTTGGTTGTCTTTGGGTTTTGAGTACGGTCAGGCTAGTCTCTTTACAATACAGGTCTAGCCTCTTTATCGTATTAATCTTATTTTGGCAGTTAGATCAAATTATGGATTTTATTGCCCTCAATAAATTGATAATTTCTTTTGCATCATTTATTTATATAACTGCATGAATTTAAAGATGTTGCATTTTACAAGTTGTAATTGATTTATTCAAATTCTTCAGGCTCGATAGTAATTATTTGCGACTCATTTAACATAACAAGTTGAGTTTCAATCACCTTCTTGGATCTGAAGACGCTTTGCACTCACATTTTGCAAATGATAGTCCCTTCGTAATTTGTTTGAACTGCAGAGACTATCAATCCTCGGGGACAAAGAACGCTAAATGAAGTTACGCGTATAACAAATCCGGTCTATCCATAATGTTTGTACCATTTGTGCACGAACACTAAGGGGGCGTTCTCTTTGTTGTTTTCAAGTCGTTTTCTGTTTTCGATTTTTCAAAACGGTGAAAACGTGTTCTCTTTCCCGTTTTCGAAAACGTATTTTCGAAAACACTAAAAAAAATACTGAAGAAAACAGAAAACGGGGAAAATGTCGTTTTGGGCATTTTCTGTTGAAAACTCGAAAAATTTGAAAACACGGGAAACAAGATCTAAAACAAGAAAAGCCTCTTCATTTCTCTCTCTCTCTTTTTCCACAGACAGAGAGAGCGCCGGGAGGGAAGGGGCTTAGCCCCCTTCCTCCGATTCCACCACCGCCGCCGACGGCGGTTGGTGGCAGCGCCACCACT